ATATATATATATATATATATATATATATATATATATATATATATATGTGTGTGTGTGTGTGTGTGTGTGTGTATGTTTTCTTATTGAGTTTTTTATTGTGATTTGGGTGAAAGCTCACAAAGTAAATTGGTTTTCCATTCAACAATTCATACATATTTTATCTCATGACATTGACAGACATCCTTCTTCCCCATGTAACAGCACTCTTCTTACTTCTTCCCTGTGGTTACCATTTCCATTGGCCCTTTTCTATTCCTTCCTATACCTTCTTATTGTTGTTAAGCACCTTTAAATCAGTTCTGACTCACAGTGACCCTGTAAAGACTTTCCAAGTGGCTGGTGGGTTTGAACTGTTGTCCAGTGCATTATCCTGCAGCGCCACATTGGGACTCCATTCCAGTGTTATCCCTGTCAAATGCTACCTTAGTCGCATATGGGTTCTTGTTCTAAGGAGTGCATACCTCCCTGATGATATTGTCAGTTATTTGCCTGAAAGTTGAGCTAATGGGGTGAGTTCAGTCCCAGGGTTGAAGAGTGTCCAAGTGCTATAATCTAGAGGGTTCAGCCTGTCTCAATCAGACTAAAAAACCTGGTCTTTTATTATTATTTGGAGTTTCCCCCCTCATTTTTCTCCCTCTCTACCCAACACCCTGTATTATGATCCCTTTTAGAGTGGTCACCGGTGGTAGCCAGGGACCATCTAGTTCTTCTGGTCTCAAGGTTGTAGAGGCTGGGATTTGCGGGGTCCATTGTTCAAATGCATTTTTTTAAATTTTCTTCACTTTTCTTTGCCCAGATGGGGAGAGATCAATAGTTGAATGTTAGATGACCACTCACAAGTTTTTAATACCCCAGTCATACTCACTAAAGTAGGAAGTAGAACATTATCTTTATAACTTTGTTATACCAATTAATGTTGGTATTCCCCAAGACCCTGGTCCTGAACCCTCAAGTCTAGCAACTCAGAATTTTATGGTTTTAGTTTGCACTTTTGAGTACTTAATCCATTTTGAATTTTCTGTGTATGATGTGAAACATGGATCTTGTTTCAATTTTCTGTATGTGGTACAAATTTCCCAGCAGCATATGTTGAAGAGATTATTCTTTTGTCATCGAATAAATTTAGCACCCTTGTCAAAAATGAGTTTATTTCTGGATTTCCAATTCCATTCCCACTGCTATGTATGTCTACTGTTACACCTGTACCAGGCTGTTTTGATTCTTATAGCTCTGTAGTATGTTTTGGAGTCCTGGTGTGGCACTTTTAGTTAACGTGCTGGACTGAAAAGTCTATTTTGAACTGGGAGGCCTGCAGTTCAAGTTCACCAGCTGTTCCTTGGAAGCCCTATACAGGGTCGCTATGGGTCAGAACCTGACTCGATGACACTTAACAACAACAACAACAACAACAAATAGTATGTTTGGGAGTCCCGGTGTGGTGCTAGCACTCCACTGCAAGGTCAATTTGAACCATAAGGCTCAAACTCACCAGTTCCTCCTCAGTAACCCTGTACAAGGGTCACTGTAAGATGGCACTTAACAACAACATGTTGTTGTTGTTGTTATGTGCCGTGGAGTCGGTTCCGACTCATAGCGATGCTGCACCGGGTTTCTGAGGCTGTTAATCTTTACGGGAGCAGAACGCCTCCTCTTTCCCCCGCGGAACCGCTGGTAGTTTCGAACTGCTGACCTTACGGTTCGCAGCCTGATTCGTTACCACTACGCTACCAGAGCTCCCCAACAACAACATAGTGTGTTTAAAAATCTACTTTGAACTCTTCTGCTTTGTTCTTCTCTTTGTTTTAGCCATGCAACTCCTCTTGCCATTTCCATATAAAAGTTGAGGACTGGGTTTCCTGTTTCTGTGAAGAAGGCTGTTCGAGGTTTGATCAGAATTGTGTTGAATCTATCGATTGCTTTGAATAATGTTCTAATCCATGAACATGGAAGATCTTTCCATTTATTTAAGACTTCTTTAATCTCTTTCAGCAGTGTTTTATCATTTTCATTGTATAAGTTCTTTACTTCCCTGGTTAGATTTATATATTTCCAAATGGAATTGTTTTCCTAGTTTCCCTTTCAGAGTTCTCATTGGTGGTGTATAGGAACCCAACTGATTTTTATTTATTTACCCTGTACTCTATTAACTTTGCTAAATTCTTCTTCAGATGTTTAACCTGCATTTTTTAAAGAAGGTGGATAGAGAGGTAGGGTACTTTTGTAGTTAAGATCATAGACTTCGGAGTCTATTTGTCTTTGAATTTCCCACATCCGTTCCTATTTCTCTCGCTTTCCCTACACTGCCCAAATACACCTAGATACCTCCTTTCTTTTATCCTGTTACCACACCACTGAGATTACTGAGGGCCTCTTCCCCACGCCCCCATGGTTTCCTCAGGGTGATGTCCGTGTTCAGAGGCAGAACATTTCATTTGCCTGGCCTCCAGCCTCTCTCTAAAACCTACCCAACTGCCCACTGACCTGTTCTTGTCATGCTTCTGTTCTGTCCTGGGCCTCACCTACAGGATCAACTCATCCTTCAAGGCATAACCCAAATACCATGCCTTGGTGAGATCTTTCTTCTCATTGTGCCCTGGCTAAACTCAGTACCCATTCTGTCTCTTTGTAATTATTTTCTTCTCTCTGCCTCCCGCCCCCCAAACACAAATAAAGAGGTAAGACTGGGACTTATTCCTTTTGTTACTGCCCAACATTTATCCTTAGGATGTGATATCTGGAAAACATACAGTTTCCAAAGTGTTTTCTGTTATTTGCTCATTGTCGTGGATTGAATTGTGTTCCCCACAAAATATGTGTCAACTTTGGTTGGCCATGATTCTCAGTTGTTTGGCAGTAGTTTGGCAGTTGTGTAATGATATAAATCATCCCCCATGATGTGATCTGATACAATCATCCTTCATTTTGTGATGTGTTGTTGTAAACTATAATTTCTACCTGTGGTTAATGTGGCAGCATTAAGTTATGTTAAAGAGGATTCCTTTATGTTTGTTATGGTAATGAGACAGGATTAAGGTCAGAAGAAACATCCTTATTCAGGTCATAGCCCAGATCTGTTGTAAGGGGAGCTTTCCTTGGGGGCGTGGCTTGCATTGATTTTTATCTGGGTGGAGTCGGTAACGAATCATAGCCACCCCGAATAGGATTTCCGAGGCTGTAAATCTTTACCGGAACACAAAGCCTCATCTTTCTCCCTTGGAACCGCTGGTAGTTTGGAACTGCTGATTAGCAGCTTGACTGGTAACCACTATGCTAGATAAAGAGAGCGAATACCAGCAGAGAGGAAAGACCTCAGTACCACCAAGAAAGAAGAGGCAATAGAATAGCACTCCCTTTGGATCTGGGGTCCCAGTCTGAGAACATCTTAGATCCAGAGGACATTGATGCCAATATACATGGAGATCCCCAAGGATCTTCCCACAGAGCAGACAAAGAGAGAAAGCCTTCCCCCAGAGTTGGTGTCCTAATTTTGAACTTCAGCCTCCTTAACTGTGAGAGAATGAATATCTGCTTGTTAAAGCCACCCACTCCGGTGTTTCTGTTATAGAAGCAATAGATAACTAAGGCACTCACTGAATCTTCACAATACTCAGATGGCAACATTTTCTCATTATACGGGGCGGGCGAGGGAACCGAGGCTCAAACAAGTCAGGTGACTTGAGCATATTAAGCCCTCAAGCTTAATATTAAACAGACCTGGCTTTGAATCTGATTTGGCTACTGACTGGATAGGAATATAAATCATATAATTCACTTCCTGCAACTATGTCCTCATCTGTATAAAAGACAATTAATTCTAACTGGGGTTTGTCCTACAAATTACATAAAACTAAGGAGCTCTGGTGGCGTAGTGGTTGCGAATCGGGCTACAAACCGCAAGGTCCGCAGTTCGAAACTACCAGCTGTTCCGCGGGAGAAAGAGGCTTTCTGCTCCCGTAAAGATTTACAGCCTCGGAAACCCTGTACAAGGTCGCTATGAGTCGGTTCCGACTCCTCGGCACATAACCACCACCACCACCACGCCTACGAAATGTCTAACAGTGTTTGCAGCACATTCGTTGAGCTCTCCCAGTCTGACCCCGTTTGTGAGCTGCTTCTTCTATTTCTCCCATTCCTCTACTGAGCTCCCGAGGCTGTGGACCTCAATGCACGTTTTGCGTGATAGCTGCATCGGGTATCAGTCATCCTTAAAAGAACTTGGGGGCACTATAAGCATAGCTAAGAGGGGGCAGTTTATAGAGAGCCGAGGGACCTTGGAAGACAGCGGTGGAATGGAGGGGCCTGTGGAAGTCTTGCTCCACAGAGGGAAAACTGGTGAATCACCCTTACATCACCGAGCGGACAATGACACCTCTAGGACTTCAGTCTTCCCCAGAGTCCAGTGCGTTCCCCTCCCCCTCGCTTCTCCAACTCCCGCAGGGTCTCTAGAGCCCGGAGAAGCAGTAAAGCCGCTAGGGCTCCAGTACACCACGCCCCTCTTCACCCCAACCCCCCGCCCCCACCCCACCCCACCCCCTCCCCGCGCCGAGCCGGCCAGCAGCAACTTCGGGACATGCGCACAGCGCCGGGCGCAGGAGGTGGTGGACCGGGCGCGCGCTCGTACTTTTCCTCCTGCGCTAGCGGCGGGCGAGCGCTGCGGGGGGCGCGGCTGGCCCGCGTGGGAGCGGCTCTGGGCGGGCTGTCAGCCACAGCGCATGGACGTCTGTTGTGCAGAAGGGACCGCGGCGGCCTGACGCACGACCCCGGAGTTCGGCTTTTATGGGATGCGAGCAGCAGTACTTGAACTACGGTGACCCGAGTCTGAAAGCGTGGTGGGAGATGTTGGCGAGCTCCCGTGGACCCTCGGGCCGGGAGTGTGGGTGAGGACCGCAAAGGCGCGGGGGTTGACGGGCAGAAGTAATGCGAGAGCGCCCAGGGAAACTGCCCGCCAGCGCCAGAAGCATCTACCGCCCGCGCTGTTGCGCGCCGCTCGGGACCCAGCCATGGAGGCGCTGAATGGCCCCGCGGGTGGCGGCGCCTCGGACCCGAAGCCGCCTAGCCAACACCACCGCCACCACCACCTCCACCCACTGGCTGAGAGGAAGCGGCTGCACCGCGCACCCTCACCCGCCAGACCTTTCCTCAAGGACCTGCTAGTACGAACCGCGGCGCCGGGTCCGGCTACCCCCTCCTCGTCTCGGGCCCCGACACCAGCCGCCCCGCGTTCGCCCAGTCTCGCGGGCAAGGCGCCGTCCTCACCCGGGTCCCTGGTCGCTCCCGGCCGCTTGTCCCGGCGCGGCGGCAGCACCCCCGGCGCGAAAGACAAGCCACCAGCGGGCGCCGGGGCCAGAGTGGCGGGCGCCGCCAAGGCCGCCCCGGGCCCCAGGAGGGCGGCACGCTTGGCGCCTGCCGAAACGCTGTCCCGGCCCGGGAAGCCGCCACCGCTCGGATCCGAGCTGTCGCCAGCCGCCAAAGGCCGCAAGGCCCGGCGCGGCTCCGGTCTCCCCAGCGTGACTCCAACCGCTGGGCCCCGGCCGCCTGCCACCCGGCTCCCCGCCGTGACCGTAGCGGTGGTCTCGGCGGCCGCAGGCGGCTTGCGCATCAGCCCCACCGATAGCAGCTCCGACCTTTCCGATTGCCCTTCCGAGCCCCTATCTGACGAGCAGCGCCCGCTCCCCGCTGTCAGCAGCGACGCCGAGTCCGGCACGGGTTCCAGCGACCGGGAGCCCCAGAGAGGAGCCCTCGCTTCCAGTCCCGCAGCACGGGGCGCGCCGCCGGGCAGCCCCGAGTGCACAGCACTCCTTACCGCGCCTTTGGCGGCCAGTAGCAGACCTGGGGGCCGAAGCAGCCCAGGCGGGGTCTCCGCGGGGTCCTCGGGGTCCGGCGCGACCGATGATGCTGGGAGCCGCGCGCCACCAGAACGAGCGGCCCCCGGAAGGGCGGACGGGAGTGGTAGGACCCCAAAGGAGCCCGGTCCTCAAGAGCAGTCCCGGCTGGCGGCGGCGGAGCTGCTGCGGGAGATGGACGAGCTGCGCTCCGAGAACGACTATCTCAAGGTGAGAGGTGCGTCCCACGTCCCGGATGCTGCGGGGACCCGCGAGCACACCCTGGGGGCCCTCCGAGCCCCTTCTCTCTCTGCCCTCCTCTCGCACGCTGAACTCTGGGAACTTGAGCCAGAAGTTCTGAAGGCTCGGAACCCCAAGATGCGTGGGGCCAAGCTAATGCAAATACGCAGTTTTTCTTGTTTTAGAAGTTTTGCGATATCTTGGCTCCTCTGGACATTTTGGGCTGTCCCCCAGGTACCCACATTCACCTGTGGGAGGGTGTCCCCTAGCGAAGTGGTGCGGGTCCAGAAAATGTAAGTCGGTTCTCCTGCCATTGGGAAAAGAGCAAGGAACCTGCGGTATCTCAGGAGGGTCCTCCACGGCACAGAGAGGACCCCACAATTTTTTATGATAAATTTTAAGTGTAGGATCCTTGAGTGATTTGCTGTTAGATTCTTTGTGAGTTTCTTAGTACTGGGCTTTACTTCTAACGCAGACACTTTCGAGGGAATCTCAGCCTCCACCGCCCTGTTTCTGAGCCCTTTCTGCGGGGCCGGCTGGTCTGGTGATGGCCTCCTGGTGGTGTTAGCGTTTAGACACTTAGACCGACTCCATCTTTTCTCAGAGGAGAGGAGCCTGGTGCTGCAAGAACAGAGGGCTTAGAAGAGATTGGCAGGCTAAAATAATCGAGAGAAATCAGGTCGGTGCAATTACACTATATTGTGATCCTCAGGATAGTAAATAACTGAAGTGTTATTTGTCCAGACCTTAATGAATATACTCCCAAATTAGGGGAGTGGCCCTCTTCCACTAGTGGGTTGTGTGATTTGAGTTGTTTTCTCATAATGAACCTACCCTATTTATGCCCTGCCTTTGTCCTTTGGGCTTTTAAAAGGTGAAAGGTGGTGGGGGTGTGCTGTTCAAATTGGAATCAGAGCATGTTAACTGCTGGGTAGTGTAAACCTTGGTTTTATCAAGAGCTGCTGTAACCAACTGGGCCCAATAGAGTGGAAACGGATTAGAGCGAGGCAGAGAAAAAGAGGTGAGAATAGAACAGATTGGTACCTGGCTTGTAATGTTTCATATAAATACATTTGCTTTTGCCACCTACTCTTATATAATAGACAAGAGAGACAAAATCTGAAGATTTTGAAGAGAAAGGGCAGCTGTGTAATGGTGTAACTCTATCAGGAAATCAGCGTTTTTGAAATCCTCAACATATGTAAACTCCCTGTGAGCTAACATGAGCCAATCTTGTTCATTGTTGTAGCCCCCACTCTTCAGCATAATTCTTGATCATGGTGTTTATGATTGACTGCTGTTTCTCCAAACTTGACTGGTGAGCAACAGACAATTGAGTTTTGTGGGGGTTTTTAGAGAAAAGATGTTCTCAATATATCCTTGATTTTAAGGACGCTAACCTGACATCATTTCAGGGTTCCTTCCTGGGTTATTTGACTTCTCTTTTCACATTGTTAGTTGCTTAAGGGAATGAAATGGGCCTCTGTCTCTGTGGTCTAACCTGGTGTATTTGATATTTCAATTGGTCCTAACAACAACATAGGATGTCACCACTGTTAAACTTCTCAAAATCCCGATTTCGTAGACAAGGATGCTGAGACACAGTAAGGTCAAATGACACACCCAAGGTCACACAGCTAGTAAGTGTTGTTGCTGTTGTTAGATGCTGTAGAGGTGGTACTGATTCGTAGCGACCATATCCTCAAAAGAACCCAACACGCCTGGTTCTGTGCCAACTTCACAGCCACTGCTGGCACCCCTATGCCAGTCCATCTTGTTGGGGTTTTTCCTTTTTTATGCTGACCCTCCACTTTACCAAACATGTTGTCCTTCTCCAGGGACTGGACCATTCTGGTAATATGCTCAAAGTACACTTCTAGAGCCTGTCTCTTTTTCCTGTGCACTTTATTTCCAGCAAGGCTCCACTTTTCTTTGAGCACATTGCTTCAGTTTTTGTATCTGTGCAAAATGTCCCCTGTGCTTAGTTTTCCTTGTTGTTGCTAATTGCTGTGGAGTTGGTTCCGACTCATAACAACCTTGTATAGGATTTCTGAGGCTGTAAATCTTTGTGGAAGCAGGAAGTCTCACCTTTTTTCCATGGAGCAGCTGAAAGGCTCGAACCATCAAATCTTGTGGTTCGAATTCCTGTGCTTGTCATCTAGAGCCACCACACTCCTTAGTTGTCCTGCTGTTGTTAATTGCAGTCAAGTTAGTTCTGACTCATAGCAACCCTGTGTAGGGTTTCTTGTGGTTAGCTGTTCAGTACTTAGCCTACAGCATCATACTGGGACACCTAAGGGACGTCTCTTTTCTTTTTAGGTGAAAGGCTTGTCATGAGTACCTTTCCAGTAGAATCCACTGGAAATACTAAATTTATAGAAAATGTCCAGTTGCCATTTTCTGTGAACAAAGTGTTGTGACCACTTACTGTGTCATGTCTAACTCGAATCTCTCATTGAATAGCAGGAGAGAGAAGTGGGCAGAGAAGACCAAAAAGGGTTTTGAAAATCAGGCTAAGTAAATGTGTGAACTACATGGTTGGTCATTCAAAAGCTTAAATTACAATAGTTCACTTTGGGAAGGAAACACAAGAATCTGACTGGACTTTTCTAAAGGTCAGAGCCCACCCGCTTGTGAAAAGTTGAGCTAAGTGCTTAATGATCTCATGGGGCAAAAGTCCTGCCTTACCACATGACCTTTAGAGTGTGCACATTATATTGGAAAAGATTCTCCTTGTCATTTAAGGGTACTGTTTTTTGGATGTTGTTGTTATGTGCGTGGAGTTGGTTCTGACTCATAGCGACCCTGTACAGGATTTCCGAGGCTGTAAATCTTTAATGGAGCAGAAAGCCTCATCTTTCTCCTGCTGAACAGCTGGTAGTTTTTGAACTGCTGACCCTGAGGTTAGCAGCCCAATTCGTAACCACAATGCTATGTATGCTATGAGTCGGAACCGACTCCATGGCACATAAAAACAACAACTTTTTTTAATGATGGATAAAAAATACATCGATGATTTACTACTTTCTTAGGGAATATTGTATGGAACTTTCAAGATTAGCTAGACATCTGTCTATTCAGTTACCAGAAGAGCCTCCATGTAATCAGTGACCACTGCCTAGGCTAGAAATTTTGCTTTGATCAATTCTGGAGGATTGTGACATCCATAGAGTATTACATTCTTTCCCAAATCAGTACTATTGTTGTAAAAGACTGTCACAGTCATTTCTGAGCTAGATTGATCAATGAGTAATAAAGCAGTAAAATATGAGAGTAAGTCAAAAAGTATGGCTACTAAGACTTCAGTTAATTCATGCATGGATTTATTCCAAACAGAATGTGTTTTAACATGTCTATGGTCAGTGGATGGCTGCAGACAAGTTTTCTCAGTAATACACTGTTAGAGTGCCGTCAAAAAAAGGTCCAATCAACATAGTGGCTTTCGATGGGATCTCCTGGGCCAGTTAAATCCAAGGCGGAGAGCTTAACTCAGAAGGCGACTGTTTTTTAGGATTAAAGGGGTGATCTTGATAGCTTTTATTGAAGGACACAGGATGATCAAAGGATTTATTAGGAAGAAGTTTTAAGGAAATTGAAAACTGCATTGGTGAGAAAAAGGCCAGGACAGTTAAGCCAGGGAATGATTTTTCTGTTATGACAATGCACCTGCTGATTCTTCTAGGGCCGCTAGAGCTATTCTCTGAGTATCTTGTTCTGTGAGTATGTTGGGACACCTTACCCCCATCCACTCTATAGCCCAGATCTTGCCCCTTCAGACTTCTTTTTGTTCCATAAACTCAAAAAAATAAATAAATAAATAAAAGGAACACTATAGTTTTTGAGTCTCTCAAGGATGTCCAAATGGCTGTTTTGACAGGCTATAAATGGAATAGCACAGAATTCTTCAGGGAATGTTTAGAGAGCAGGAAACACTGCCTTCAGAAGTATATAGACATGTTGACCTAGCTGGACGATATATTAAGAAATAGTAGCTTCACATTTTGATATTATTTTTCTTTAAATAAATGTTATTGTGGTCTTATAGCAAAATTTTTAAATTTACTTTTGTAAGTTCAACAAAATCATGGAAGAATGTTTTACCCACCATGAAACTCAGATGGACGTCTTTTGTTTCCAGCCAGACTGATTTTTTTCTCTTTTTTTAATAGCAAATGTGTCCCCTACATGCCTTCTTTAAACTGAGTACTGTATGACATGGTCCCTGACTTCATTTTCTGTTCCTTCTCTTCCTTCATTAATGAATACCACGATGTTGTTGTTGTTGTTAAGTGCTGTCGAGTTGGTTCTGACCCATAGAGACCCTGCATAGCGTTTCCAAGGAGCAGCTGGTGAGCTTGAACTGCCGACCTTGCAGTTCAAACGGCTTTACAGTGTGGCGCATTAATCCACAGCGCCACACCAGGACTCGATGAATAATTGAAAAATGCAAAAATTATTCAACCCAGGTAACTGACTTTTTGAGTGAAAACACAATCAGAGAAGCAGTCTAATCTTCCTTTTACCTCTGATGTATAATGTATTTGGAAGCATTCATAAATTAAGGGGAACAGTTCAATTCAGTTATCCAAATGCCTTTGCTTTTTCATTCTCAAAAACAAAACCCAGGTATGTTTCTTAGTGATGAAGACTTTGGCTAAGTGCTCATGTGTTTCCTTCCTCCCTGCCTGCCATGACTGTTTTGCTCGAGTGCTCTGAGACAATCAGGCAAGCCTCAGTGCTCATTGTGAACGTATTAATTATGTTCTCTCACCATAGAATTTCTCAGAAGGGTTTAATCACTCAGAGTTTATTGGCCTATTTTGAAAATGCTTTTAATGTTCCTGAGCTCATGCACCTCCTCTCCCACAAATATGAGGGGCATGCAAAACGTTTGTGGAAAATGGAATTAAAAGATAAAGGAAAATGTTCACAAACTTTTTGAAGCTCCTGCGTAGTATCCTGTAACAGTATTTATACTTAGGTCCTTTTAG